TAAATATTTAATGGGCCATTTAATTAACCCAATTAAATAAATATTAGTCCAATTAGCCTAATTAAAGTAATTAATTTTATAATTAAATATTCACCACGGCCCAATAACATCATTCAAATTTTTGATGCTTACAGACCTGACGCGGCCTAGCGTCTAGGCACAATTTTTGAAACCATGGGATGAGAGTACACGACCATATTGATTTTTCTATACGAGAGGTGGTTTTGAACTCCTGGTCTTTCTTAAGGGATGAGCAGTGTTGAAAAAGACGCTAGGCGCCCGATATTTATATTTATATTTTTAAAAATTTTTATGGGGTTATTCGCAAAAAAAAAAAAAAAAAGGGGGGGGGGGGGGGGGGGGGCATCAGCCGCCTAGGTGCCCGGCCGTGGAAGAGGCCGATTTCGGCATTCTTCGATGCGGCCGGGAGCCGCCTAGTACCTAGGCACGATTTTTGCAACCATGGAGATGAGAGTACACGGCCACTCATGCCAATCAAACTAGTTAATCCTTCTTTTTTGAAGGTCAACCAATGTGGTTGTATTTATAGATAAACTGAAATAGAGTCTGGTGGGACATCGTCCCAGTACATAGCTGTAGTCGAATTTAAAGCTAAAGTAGCTAAAGTATGTGCTAATAAATTATGTAGTCTAGGAACAAAATTGACTGAGGAAAAACTTAAAGTAGACATAAAATTCCTGCAACTATCGATAGCATATCCAACATATGACCTGGACGGGGTATTCGGTGCGCATATGTAGCGTTGTAGCGTCTGGCAGTCAGTATGTAGTCGTATTGAATCTTCGCCACGTCCTCTTAACCATGATAAAACCTCTTTACACGCGTATGCCTCAGCCATGAGTGGGGAAAAACAATTCAGTAGTGGGGCGCTGAAAGCCGAGACATAGTGATTGTCGGCATCTAGTAGTACCGCCCCACCGCTGCTGAGCTGGTATCCTGGTGATAGCTTGCATCCATATAGCATTTCATGGGTCTTGATGTTTCCGCGGGGTGGCCGGATCGTGGCAGCGGCGGTTGATGCATGCCTTCGCCCACAACGGAGACCACCGGTTGGAGGCCAACCTGTTGTGCGGCGTGACCGGCTCCATCGACCGTGTGGTAGTTCCTTGCGGCTGGTGTGGGCGTTCGGTGGTGTAGCGTGTTCCACGCTTGCATAGTGGTCATAGCTGCCACAAGCACCTTCTTTGGCAACAGTAGATAGGCATCCCAAACAGCTCTGTTTCTTGCTTTCCATATATGATATAAAATAGAAACTGCATACAATATTCTATTGGTGTCTAGAACATTTAAGATTGCACTAAACCATTCATGGAAAATATTTGTCACAATGTTGGGGAGTGGGAGGCTAGATTGGTCCAAATGGATCTTGCATAATCACACAATACTAATGAATGCAAAATATTTTCATGAGCAATCCCACACATGGCACACATCGGGTCCACTTCTACTCTCTTTATAATCAAATTGCTCTTAGTGGGGAGGATATCACTTAGAGCTCTCCATAGAAATGTTTTCCATTTGGGGGGTGCTTTGATTTTCCATAAGGCTAACCATCCATCAAAAACCCCATTATTAGCGTTAGGATAGTCTCCAACTATGCGTCGATGGCCGTCTTTGACTGAGTAACAACCATTAGGATCCCCGTGCCAATACCATACATCATCATAACCTGGGGATACTGGGATCTTGAGGATTTTTGGGATATCATCTGGTCGAAAAATATCAGTGAGCAAGTGTTGGTCCCATGAACCAGTACTTGGATCCAGGAGACCCACGACTCTAGTTCCAGCTAACTGTGGTGGCATTTCAGTTTGGACCATTGGGTCTAAATCATCCTGTAGTCAGGGGTGCTCCCATACTAAGGTATTGTTTTCATTCCCAATTTGTCGTCTTACCCCACCACAAACCAGCTCCTTTGCTGCCATAATACTGCGCCAACAATAGCTAGGATTATTCCCCATTCCTGCCTTGTAAAAAGACTCCTTAGGATAATATCTGGCTTTATATACACGAGCCACTAATGAGTCAGGCTCAGTAAGCAATCTCCATGCCTGTTTACCCAACATTGCCAAATTAAATGCTCTCAGATCCTTAAAACCCAGACCTCCATATTTCTTGGGGATGCATAACTTATCCCATGCTTTCCAGTGTATTCCCCTGTCTGTGCCTGAACCCCACCAGTAGCGGTTCATTGTTCTCTCAATAGCTGTACAGGTAGAACTGGGTAATAGAAAGACACCCATAGAAAAGGTAGGCATTGCCTGAGCCACACTTTTCAATAGTACCTCCTTTCCCGCCTGTGTCAGCTCCATGATCCAATCCTTTGCCTGATTTTATCCTCAATATAGGCAAAGGCCCCCCTTTTATTCCTTCCCACAAATGGTGGTAAGCCCAGATATTTCCTAAAATTAGGTGCCTGGACCACTCCCAAAATCTGCGCCACATCATCTCTATCTCCTTCACCTGTATTCCTGCTATAGCATATACTGGACTTATGATAGTTAACCATTTGTCCAGATAAACTCTCATATATATATAAACAATTCTTAATCTGAGTTGTCTCCTGATGATTTGCCCTAAAGAAAAGCAAGCTATCATTTGCAAAGAATAAATGGGATATTGGTGGGGCACCCCGTTATACTCTGCAACCATGAATCAGACCATTAGTTTGCGCTTGTTGCAGTAACAAGGACAGACCTTCAGCACAAATAATAAACAGATATGGGGATAAAGGATCTCCTTGTCTGAGACCCCGGGTGGGTATGATTGGCTGGGTACTCATACCATTTATCAAAAATTTATATGACACCGTGGTCACACACATCATAATAAGATTCACCCACTTGTCATTAAAACCCAGAGCCTTAAGCATTCCTTCTTGGAAAGGCCATTCCATATGATCATAGGCTTTTGCCATATCCAACTTGAGAGCCCCCCAGCCAACAGCCCCGCACGGCTTCCTGTTCAGATAATGTCCCACTTCTGCTGCTATCAAAATATTATCAGTAAGAAGCCTATTTGGAATAAACGCACTCTGTGAATCTGAAATGATACCCTCCATCAAGGGTTTCATTCTTAGTGTCATCATCTTCGCCATCACTCTATAAATGAAATTGCTTAGGGCTATGGGTCTCAGATCTGTTACCTTCTCTGGCGTATTTTTCTTTGGGATTAACACCACATTTGTCTCATTCAACGCAGGTGGCATTATTCCTGAATCAAGACATTCAATAACAAAACTCGAGAAATCCTGACATACCACATCCCAGAAATGCTGATAAAAGCCTGGATTCATACCATCATGCCCAGGTGCCTTATCAGGGAACATAGAGAAAAGGGCCTGCTTGACTTCCTCCACAGTAAAGGGTTGAAGGAGTAAATCATTCTGTGCTTGTGAGATTTTTGGTATAACATTTCGAAAAATACTATGACCTTCAGGGGGATTACTAGAGCAGAAAATATCAGCAAAATAATCCAGGATAACATTTTTCATAGCCTCTCCCTCCACCCAGTCCCCATTATCATTGGAAATTCTTAAAAGAGTGTTTTTCTTTTTGCGATTAGAGGCATACCTGTGGTAGTATTTTGTATTGGCATCTGCACCTTGCAGCCAGTGTTGCTTAGCTCTCTGTCTCCAGTATGCATCCTCCTGGTTCTCAATACATTGTAACTCTTCCTCTAAACGCTGAAATTCAACCAAAGATGCTGAGTCTGTACGGCCTCTTAACCGCAATTGATCATTCTTTAATTGCAGTATTCGCTCACCAAACTTATGATACTGGTCACCCCCCCCCCCCCCCCCTAACGAGATAATCTTTCTCCACATCGCATAACACGTTCCTGTAAGTCACCACCCATGCCCTCATTCCATGAATTTTCCACAACAGACCTGCACCCCTGATCATATAACCAGGCCATCTCAAACCGAAAACGTTTCTTATATGGTCCCCTTGTACCCATTGGATCATGAATACCAAGGAACAAAGCTGAATGATCTGATTTTCGCGTTAAAATATTTGTGACTCTTGCTCCTGGAACAATGCTACTCCAGGTACTCGTGGTTAACACCTTATCCAGCCTCTCCTCTATCCACCGATCCGTGCCATTCCCCTTCTCCCATGTATACTGATATCCTTCCATTGGCAACTGGGACAGCCCACAGTGCTCAATAGCTTCCCCAAAGCCCCCCAACAGCCTATTCGGGTGTGGATTTCCCCCTTTCTTCTCATGCTGATATAAAAGATCATTGAAATCACCAAGCATAACTCATGGTAGGTCAGACTTGGGCGCAAGAGACTTAATGAGATCCCACGCTTCAGTGCGTCGGTGACGTTCGGGGCAGCCATAATAACAGGTGAGCCTCCACTTTGGAAAACCCGTCATACTAACTTCTATGTCAATGTGATTAGCGGAATAACATATAAGCCTTGCCGTATTATTCCTTCTCCATAACAATGCCAGTCCACCACTCAAGCCATTATTATCAACAAAAAATAAGCCTTCGAAACCAATCTTAACACGTACACGTTCCGCATGATCTCGACCTACCTTGGTTTCCATTAGGTAGACGAAATCGGGCTTTTTCTGGGACACCATGTCCACCAACTCACGAACTGTGCATGGGTTGCCCAAACCACGACAGTTCCAGCTTAGGGTACTCATTGGATCGGGCAGGTCTAGGAACTAAGACCCGCCATGTGCAAGTTTTTTGAACCACTGTTTTCCTCCATTCCACCATCCACCACCAGGGCCGACTCAATCAACCCCCCAACCACCGCCCTCCACCTTTTGGAAGAGGTCGTGATACCCTCCTCCGCCCCCTCCCTCATAGATGCCATAACCACGTCTGCCCCTTCGTCATTATCCAGTGCCAGAACCGGGTTCCTATTCTGCCGTGAGGCTTCATTAGCGACTCCTAACGGTGGAAGCAACCAAGACTCCCCCACCGGTCTCAGACCCCTGGTATGTCCCGCTCTCATCTATGCCCCGTATGGGTAAAACTCCGGTTTGATATTGGAAACCCGTGCCTTTGCACAGAAGCTGTCAAGATGTCCTAGCAAACCACAACAAAAACAGAAGTTATGTAACCGTTCGTACTTCAGATTCACCCAACCCCAGGACTTGTCCCGGCGTAACAGTTTCATTCGGCGTTTTAACGGTTTGTCCACTGGTACCGAAACACGCACTCTGTAGAACGTCTTCCATGGGCCACCCACCCGTCGATCATCACACCGGATAAACGACCCTACAAAATTCCCAACCTGCTCAAGAACCGCATTAGAAGTATAACCCATAGGTAGGTCATAGACTTGTATCCACATATCAACAGTATCAAGTTTGACCTCCCTCGGAAGGAATCCATCACATACTCGCCTACATACCAGTGTATGGTTCTCAAAGGACCACGGACCCTTCTCCAACACCTGCACCATATCCGTTTCATGATAGAAAGCAAAAAGAAACAATCTATTATGCAACTCCGTCACACGCATCCCGAATACAGGCTTCCATGCAGAAGCCATTACCTGACGCATATATTCCACCTTGATTAGCTTCTGCGTCAAGAAACGCCCAACAACACAGTACATAGGCGTCTCCATCCTGGTCGGAACATGCTCCGGTACGTCGGCCTCCACGTCACCTTCTTCATCCTCCAACACCATATCTCCCCATCGTTCGGTCAAGTCATCCATCCTTCTGTCGTCGTGCTGCTGTGTTTCCGTCGCCATGCTCTTAGCCGGTGTTTGTGGCAAGTAAACCCTAGCGGGAGGAAGAAAAGAAAAACCATAGAGAGGGAGAGAGTAAGTTACAAACATTTAAAACATCGTCAAATTGATGATTAGAGTTAATCCTTCTTTAATGTACAAGAATTCACTATTCTCCAAAATGTTATTTGTTGGAAAAAGATCAACCTAAAGATACTAAACAATTGGACTGAAGCAAATAAAAACCATGATTCAGATTGGCAATACATTATCGTATGTATGCATATAAAAACTTGCCCAGGAATACAACCATTAAATCAATAAATCCTAACCCATGAATCAGGATACAAGCAGGTCTACAAATAACAGAAATGCTGAATGTATATAAAAATCTCAACTTTTTGTGCTTAATTAGGTCCTCGACTGTTCATATATACTTTCTCAACTTACTGAAGCACAAAGAGTCAAAACCCCCACATTTGAGACCTCTCATTTGAGGGGCCACAGCTATGCCGCTTGACCACAAGCTAATGCCGCTTGACCACAAGCTAATGCCTTTGGCAATTATTACCCAATTTAGTCCTCAACTATATTAGTTTTCCCTACTTAGTGTTCGACTATAGGGGTTTTACCCAATTTAGTCCTCAACTCTTTGATTTTTCACGATTTAGTCCTTGATTTTAACACCTGAGAACTCAATTGGATAAAACCATCAAAGTTGATGACAAGCACAAAAAGTCGTTTAAGACTAAATCTAGACAAACCACTATAATCAAGGACTAAATTGGATATTAACTCATATCTTCACTAAAAGACTGGGTAACTTTGGCTCACAAATAGTTAAGAGATTTAACTAAATACACATGCCACCAATCCTCTATACTAATTTAGGATCAATTGAAACAAGAATATTGACCTCAGGAATACTAGCTGACAGATTATAACCAAAAGAATTACATATACCAATATAGCCAAGAGATTTTGCCAATACCCTCCCCACCCCACCCCACCCCACCCCACCAAACTACCTTCTAAATATAAAAATATAAAAATATAAAATTCAATATTACATGCTCCTACCAATTCCTATTTTGGTTCTTCTACTTTTTCTTTTTTTCAACTTCAGTTTATTTTTCTCTTTTTTTGTGTGTTTTTTTTCTTGTTTTTACAAATAAAATTAATGTATAAAAATATAACATTTAAAAGCTCTAATTAATATCTTTTAAATGACATCCATATTGATTTTTTTATTTTTAAATAAATCTAGAGACACATAAAGTCATTATTTTAGTGTAATATTTATATACATTAAGCTTTGTTTTTATTAATATATAGAAATAATATTATGAACCTACTATAAAATGAATGGAAATACATATGTTGTACATTTAGTTTAGCATTTTTGGACATTACAAAAATATGAAGGAGGAGATGGAAGGGAGATGCGATGAGCTATGGAACAAATGAATAATGGGCATTTACAGGGCGTTTGGTTGAAATGAGGGAATTAGGGGGGAAACGAATTGTAATTCGGTGGAAAAAGAATAAAGTGATAATTTAAATTATATTCTTTGGTAGGAAGGAATAGGGTGATGAGGAATTGAGAGGGAAGAAGTGAATAAATACTAAAATACCCTTATATAATATTAATATAATAATAATAACGAGGGTAAAGTGGTAATTTAAAATAGAATTGCAATTCCATGGTTGGAGGAAAATTGAAATTCCATGGAATTGTAATTCCCTCCAACCAAACCATGGAATTACAATTCTATGAAATTTGGTAGGAATGGAATTGCATTAGAGTTTAAGACGGGTGGGTTGTAATATGTAATATGTAATTGCATTGGGGATGTTATATATATATATATATATATATATATATATATATATATATATATATAATTCTTTTTTAATTTCATTAATTTCAAAGTGCTGCGTGAAGAGGACAGACCTGAGACCGCGACTCCGCGAGAGTTGAAGCGGTGAAGCATCTTTCGTCAACTCCGCGAGAGGCCGAGAGCTGAAGAGCTGAAGCGCCGACGGCCGACGCCAGTCACGCCACCGCCCACCGCAAGTTCCGTCTTCTCTCAGCCAGTCAGCCTCCGTGAGTTCCACACCACCGCCAGCACTACCGGCCACCGCCGTGTTGGGACGACTCCGCTGCCAGGTTTTACTTCGAATCTCCGATCCCTTCTCAGTAGTCAGTTCAAATGTTCAAATTTGCTTAATTTTGCCCATGTTCATCTAATTTTGCCCTAATTTGATTTTGCTCTAAATCTTAATAGCCATTTGAATTTGCATAGCTGCATAGGAATTGGCTTACTGGTTGATGGTAAATCCTGCTTGATATGAAGTTTAAAAATAGGATTTTGATAAAATGGTCTTACTCATTTGATGGAATTCAATCAGGTTAAGAGTGGTAAAGCATTCTGTGTCAATTAAGGAAAAACAAAAACTGAATTTTGGGATTAAATGAAGGTTGCAAGTTGCTTGATAAATATAGAGGTTTAGAGTATGCAAGGGAAATTTACATGACAGTGAAATGGAGGGATGGCTGACTATGCCTATAATACTTGTAGTTAAATATCATATCAGTTTCATTGTCCCACAAGTTAGAAACTGAACAGTGAATTATTACTTGCAAGTTGCAATTTTAACAAGTTCTTAATTAATTACAGACTTCTGAGGGTAACCATGCTTTGATTACATATTTCCAAGTGAAGCTTCTAATATATATATTGCCAAGGTCCTTAAATTGCTAATCTGCCAATCTGAAGCAGTTCTACAACGATTTCAAAATATGAAAGAGTATAGAGGATATTATCCCCGTAGTTTATCATAAACTTTGTATTGTAATTCATAATGTATTTTGTATTTTAACTATCTTATCTGTATTTGAACCTTGTATTTGAGCATTTTTGAATTTATTTTCCCTGTGCTTTTTTGCCCCCACTGAAGAAAAATCCTGGGTCCGCCACCGTTTGGTTTGCTGGAAAATATTTGATGGAAAATGGAATTCAAATTCCATGGAAAACAAATTACCAGGAAAATAGATTCCATTGTTTGGTTGGTGGAAAAGAAATTACTGGGAATATGAATTCTATTATTTGGTTGGGTTTTGAATGGTAAGGAATTATGAATATAAAAACCAATCTGTCATTAACAATAATATATACATGTGTAATTAATAAACTTTGATGAGGGTAAAATAGTCCAATATTGTTATACTTTCTTCCCAAATCATTTGGAAAACAAAATACCAATGTCTTGCTAGGATTTTGTTTTCCTTCAACTTTAGGAACTCAAATTGCAATGGAAAAGATTTTCCATCTAACCAAACAACATAAAACAACATTTTCCTACACTTTTAGGAAAACATTTTCCATGGAATTTGACTTCCACCCAACTAAACACCCCCTTTTATCAGACGTTATGCCATGGAATGGTGAACACGGTTCCAACGGTGTTAGTACACCGTTATCTTTTTTTTTTTTTTTTTCTTAATTAATTGCGTGACTTTTCTTCTTTATTTTCACATTTTGCGGTTTCACTTTAATTTGAGGTGAACAAAGATTTCGAACATTCATAAATTATGAATTCATGCCTGCACATTCACTTTGGAACCATGCCTACACATTCCCGTCCGAAATCACGGATATTCATAAATTATGAATCCATGCCTGCACATTCACTTTGGAACCATGCCTACACATTCACTTTGGAACCATGAGATTATGAATTTTCTGTTATAAGATTATGAATTTTCTGTTATGAGATTATGAATTTTCAGTTATGAGATTATGAATTTTCTGTTATGCGATTATGAATTTTCTGTTATGAGATTATGAATTTTCATTACATTCATAATGTCGGACATTCATAAATTATGAATTCATGCCTGCACATTCACTTTGGAACCATGCCTACATATTCCCGTCCGAAATCACGGACATTCATAAATTATGAATCCATGCCTGCACATTCACTTTGGAACCATGCCTACACATTCACTTTGGAACCATGAGATTATGAATTTTCTGTTATAAGATTATGAACTTTCTGTTATGAGATTATGAATTTTCAGTTGTGAGATTATGAATTTTCTGTTATGCGATTATGAATTTTCTGTTATGAGATTATGAATTTTCATAAAATTCATAATCTCATAACAGAAAATTCATAATTTGATCAAACGCGCGCCGTTAACTCCACATCCGCGAATTTTTTTTTTCTTGCCTAAAAATGACATCGTTTTGCCTTGTGTTCACCATTCTCGGTGAACACGATTCCATGGCATAATTTGCGCCCTTTTATAGGATGGGTTTTTGGGCTTGGGTTAATTGGGTTGGACCAGTTTGGGGTCATAGTTTATATTGGGCTAGATTTTTATATTGTAATAGTACATATTATTGCAATGTGCTGGATTTAAATATTAAGCCGGGTTATTTCTTTATCAAAATTTATAAGTTGGACCTTAAAATATAAACATTTTGTAAAAGTGTGTTGTTTTAAATAGGATAAAGATTATTATTTTAAATCTAATTTATATATGTAAAAATAATTATTTTGTAATAATGTGTGTTTAAATTATCTTTTGAATAATCTTTAAAAGTTTAATTTTAAATAAATATATGATAGAATTTAATTCTTTTAAAGTTTTTTAGAACTTAGATTTAAATTGTATAATTCTATTTATAATAGTATTTTCATTCTTTTAAAAATAATATAATTCAGGTATTTTAAAATTTTCAACATTCTACAAATTTCACTTCTAAATGGTTATACTTAATTTCTTTATGACTTATTTGTAATGAATATCTTATTTATATACATTTATTTTTTAGGTTTGGCTTTGACAAAAAGTGAGAAGAAAAATTTTGCCTTACTTGAATTAGAAAAAATGCTTACTACGGCAAGAGCTTTGTCTGTTTTCCATCTATGCCTATGCCAGACTTAGGTCGCCAAGTCTTACATGAAAATCAATTGTTATATGATGAATTGTCATATGATTGTGTTGCTCT